AAAGTTCCTATACAATCATTTCTGACACCCACTGGGTCACCCCAGGCCAACAGGAAGCAGACAGCAGTGCTGTCTGAATAAGCCATACCTCCTTTGAAAACATAATTGAAAGAATTGGCTCTTTGGTTCAGAAACAAGTAAAGCAAGACTCCATGTCTCAGCAAACACAGATCTACAAATGCAGAGGAGAAAACTGGGAGAAAATGACAGGAACAATGGCATTCCCTTCCTTCCTCTAACGCTTTCAGAATGCGCCCAATCTGAACAGGGTCATGCTGATAAGTGTTCCTAAGCAAAAGTAAAATAAAAGGAAGTTAAGAAGTCACAGTGAATCATTTTTCTTTGAGTTGATTTATACTGTTTTTGGACAAGCCCAGATCAGTGTCAGCTGGGGAATCCCAAGATTTGCCCTATCTCTGGCAAGTCCCTCAAGTTGCCATTGGTGATATGTTTTGGGGGTGGAAGGTAGGGATGGGGAAGGGTCTATAATGTCAAGTCTGGAACCCAGAGGGTCACATGTGCAAGGCAAGTGCTGTTCCCCTGAACCAAGTCCCTGGCTCTGATATGTTTTTTCGAAGCCCAGCATTTAAATTGTGGGTCAGGGCTATAGATAGTGAAAATGCAAAGGTGCTTGCTTTGTATGCAGCTGTAGCTACAACACTGGCATATGGTACACCAGAAAATAACACCCAGAGACATGATTCCTGAGCACAGAGACTAACTAATGAATTAATTAATAGCTGATCTTCTGGAATTATAGCAAAGACAATTTTTCACAATCCAGTTTCACTTGTCACTAATTTTTGCCTGGCAGATTTATTTTTTTAATTGAATCACTGTAAGAGAGACCCCAACAAAGATGTTCGTGATTAGGTTTCAGTTATACAGTTTTCCAACGCCCATCCCTCCACCGGTGTACATTTCCCAGCAGATGTCCCCAATCTCCCTCCCATCACCCTCTGCACACCCTCTTCCTGGCCCCGCCTCTCCTTTGGAGCATTGTGGTTTGCGATACAGATACTGAAAGGTTGTCGTGTATATCATCACCTACTTTTAACACTCAGTTCTTGTTGCCTGGCACATATCCTAGGGAAAACATAAAATATATTCAAGGATGATAACAAAATGCACTCTTCAAAAGAGATGGAAGCACACAGCCCACACCTGGTGGAAAAGAAACAGGGTAATAGACCTCAAAGCAATTTTTTCACACCAGGAAAAGAAGACAGAAACCTAAGCTTAAAACAGAGCAGAGGAACCTGGGGAGAGAGCCTATTCCTGGCCTTTGTGAGGTCCCGATTCCCCAGTACCACCGTGCCCTTACCAACTCCATGAGCTACCAGGCATATAGCCTTGGTGGCCCCCAAGCATTGGGGCTTAGCTGGATGGAGACTGAGCTCCAGCACTGAGGCTTAGCTGGATGGAGGCTGAGAAAAATGACAAGGAAAAACCCTCCAGGTGATTGCCAACACAAACAAGTCACCAAATCAAAGCACAGTTTAAAATTTTTGATAGGGATTCCGTGCCAGGCTGTTTTCACTTGGGGCGCCCCAGAGTGGGGCGGGTGAAAGCCCTCCCCACCCCAAGGGACCCAGCCCCAGCAGCTGACCTCCACTACCCAACCACCACCGCCATGCTCCAGGCCGCTTTCCACATGCTCGGACCGAGCCTCACATATGAGTGAGCATATTCTTGGACTGCTCCGTGGCTTTCGTGGCCGCACACGACACATCATAAGACGCTCCCTACTCATTTTCCATAATTACCACACCATATTTGATGGGGTTCAGACAGTTGGCAACAAATAGAGGGAAATATATATATATCTCGGAGAGCCCGGCAAGCTACCGAAAGTATCCCGCCCACATGGCAGAGGCTGGCAAGCTGCCCATGGCATATTCAATATGCCAAAAACAGTAACAATAGTGGATCTCATTCCCCTGACCCTGAAAGAGCCTCCAATACAGCAGCATTGGGAAAGACGAGTAAGAGAGGCTGCTAAAATCTCAGGGCTGGGATGAATGGAAACATTACTGGCGCCCGCCTAAGTAAATCAATGAATAACAGAATGACAGTGATACAATGATATGGAAAAGAAAATTACAGGCTGATGAAAATGAAGTCTGGAGATCAAATAGTTTTTCTCGAAGCCCTTCACATGGGCATTTAGAGCTCTCTAAAAGGTGATTTCATGCTTCAGAACTGGCTTGTGGCACTTCAACTTCAGGTCTGGAGAACAGCCCAGGATGGAGATCTGGTACAGTAGGTAGGCCACTTGCCTTGCGCAGGAATGACTGGGGTTCGAATCCCTAGCTCCACATATGGTTCCCCAGTCCCTGCCAGGAGTAAGCACTGAACACATTTGGGTATGCCTCACCACCTCCACAAAACCAAAAACAACAACAACAGCAACAAAATTAGAGAGAAAAAACATCCCATACTTAAGTAAGAGTCCGTTTTCAACTTGCCTAACCCAAGGACTGTTCTTGGGCTTATTATCTTACTATGAAACTACATGTAAGTCACCTGTTTTTCCATTAAGTTTAAAAAAAAAAAACTTGCCCTATTCTGGGTTTCACTTCACAGTAGAGACCTAGTTGAAGAGGTCAGCTTGTGAATGTGACATTGCTAACTTTCAGTTCTGTATTCTCTGCTAGTCTGTTCAAAATTTGTCTCCCTATTCCTCCTATCTGGCCAAGGGGATATATAAATTATTTTATTGTTTAGGGTATAAAAATCCAATTTCAATATATGTGTATCCTTTGGAGAAAAGAAAAGGATGACTTCTTCAGACATTGTATCAGGATTCTCCTTTTTTTAAGTGCATGAGATTCATGCACTTAATGGGCTGGAGTGATAGCACACGGGTAGGACGTTTGTCTTACACATGGTCAACCAAGGTTTGATTCTTCCGTCTCTCTTGGAGAGCCCAGCAAGCTAAGAGAGTATCCCACCCACACAGCAGCACCTGGCAAGCTCCTTGTGGCATATTTGATATGCCAAAAACAGTAACAACAAGTCTCACAACGGAGATGTTACTGGTGCCCGCTCGAGCAAATCGATGAACAACAGGAGGACAGTGCTACAGTGCTACAGAGATTCAAAATAATTGACACTACCCTTGGTGCCTTCTGCACAGGAACTGTTGGGGAAATGTGGAAAACATACTGACATTTAAGGGGCACAGAGCATTACTTGTAGAAATTATGCTAAAGGAGCAGATGTGGGGCTGGAGAGATAGCAGAGCGGGTAGGGTGTTTGCCTTGCATGCAGCCAACCCAGGTTCGATTCCCAGCATCCCATATGGTCCCCTGAGCACCGCCAGGAGTAACTCCTGAGTGCAAAACCAGGGGTAACTCCTGTACATCACCAGGTGTGACCCAAAAAGCAAAATAAAATAAAATAAAATAAAGGAGCAGATGTACCTAGAGAGAGTTCAGGATTATGGGAGTTCACTTAAAGCATGAAAAGGAAGATGAGTTAAACATCCCTGAAGATGTCTGACTCACAGCAAAAAGCCACCAGGTCCCCCTAGTTTACGTGGTTTGGTTTACACATCTGAAAGTTGGTGAGTAGTTCCTGAAAGTGTGATGTCCACATACCACCTGTGAGAAGAACCAGTAAGTTCCAGTAATATAAAATATCACAGTCCCAAGCCATGGAAGAGGCTTAAAGGGTTGGTGCTCAGGAGCCCCAAGCTTGATTCCCAGCACTAAAGGATCCCCCCAAGCACTGCCAGAGCAACTCCCAACACTGCTGGGTTTGGACCCAAACCCAAACTTAACTAAAATATCAGAATTTCCACCTTGACACCCTGTCAGTCTCTCCGCCTTTTCCTCCTACTGGTTTCTCATTTGATTCTCAGTTTGTGAAAACACAAATCCAGTGTTTCCGGCTGGTGCTGTACCACCAGACACAGAAAGACTTCAAATTTTAGTCCCTTCAAAAGCTATTTCCATTACACCTCAAGTGTGTGTCCTACTGGAAGCTTCTAAAGAGACTTACTGGATAAAGACCTGTTTAAGTCCCAGAGGAAATGTGCTAGAAAAAATATTGGAGTCCAGATTAAAAAGAGGAAGATTGCATGGCTCATCCACTGTGAGGACAGACCTGTTTATCAGCCCAAGATGCAGAAGATGGAAAATAAATGGAGAGTTGATTTGTTCCCCTATCTGTTAGAGCAGTTCTTAGCAGACTAAGACAGACAGGAGGAATGAAAAGCATCTAACCCATCCACCTCTTAAAAACAGACACCCAGACTTGTGCAGTTTGGTTTGCACATCAAAGTTGGTGAGTTAGTTCCTAGGAGTGTGACGTCCACAGACACTTAAGAGAGAGATTTATGATACATGACACCCAATTATTCCATTATGACATTCACAGGTATCTACAGTGTGAAAACCGGTACCAACGTTATGTCTTCTAATTCAACCTCAGCCTCTTAAAGGTCTAAAAACATTACTGGCCTCACTTGATTGAAACAAGCTCAATAATTTTCTGGACAGCCACTAGGAATCAAGTGAATTCTCATTTATTCTGGCTCCTTGCTAGCATTCGTCTATTTATAATATCAAGAGCGCAGGGCAGAAGCAAAGGCGGGTTTGTACACTATTTTAAGAACTTTAACAGCCCCCCACTGTATTTGGTTGGCAAGCAGGGAAGGGGGCAGCAAGGCCTGTTTGTACTCACCACCCCCTGGCTCCACTTGGCCGCTGGCGATGACGGTTCCGGCCGCGGAGGTGGGGCCTTTTGGCAGCTGAACCTCAGCCAGCGGCAGCGGAATTGGGGTTAACCACATCACGACCCTCCCACCTGGGGGAAAAGGCCTGTTTGTTCCGAAAGGCCAAGCAAGCAGTTAATAAAGGCATTCATTCCCAAGTCGGCGAGAAAGTTTGTGTGCAGAACAGCCAAAGCTACACAGTCTTAGATAAAGAATAAAGGTTTTTTTTTTTTCTCCAAGCCAGAGATGCTATCAAGATGCAGCGCAGGGGGGTCCTCACCTGACGGTTAACCTGAAAGCCCCTGATTCTTCTCTCTGTGCATTCGGGATCTTGGGCGAACGGCTGGACTGCCGGGCCAAGCCTCCGTCTTGCAAACTTTCCATGGTCCGTCGGAATCGAGCGGAAAACAAGGTTCGGGGCCGCCCCTGACCCCCCAACCTCCCAGGTTTGGACCAAGACGGGCGCGCGTGCTTTGAAGTTGGGAGATCCTTCTAGACAGACCCCGGTTTCTCCCCGTCCTCCTCGCTCTCCTTCCTCCCCTGCGGCCCGGAGCACGCAGATCCGGATGCGCGAAGTCCAGGTCCGGGGGGTCCTGGGGGGCGCCTCTGCCCCGGCTGCCCGGCGGCTGGAGTCTGATCTGAGCGCCCGCCTGGGCAGTGGCGCGTGTCCCGGCGTTCCGGGCCCGGCCCAAGTCACCACCCCTTGCCCGGGCTCCTGCGGCAGCGGCTGCGAAACCGTCGAGGGGAGGGGTGAGAGGAGGTGGCGCCCCGTTTACGATTTTCCCCCTAGGCTCGGGAAGGGGGGTTGCGGGGGTCCCAGTGGTGCACCCGGGCTAGGCTGAGGCGCTGCGGGACGCCGCAGAGATCCGAGGCCACCGAGACCCCAGGAGAAAAAGCAGCGAGGAGTCTAAGGGGGCAGCACCGGGGCGGGGTGGGGCACTCGTGCGCCCTCGGGGTACTGACCTGCCGCGGGCCCTCCCGGCCGAGTTGGAGGTTCCGTTCCACACCGGCAGGTCCAGCGCCTCCACGGTGCCAGGCATGGTGCGGCCCGGGAGAGGTGGGGCGAGGCCCAGGGTGGGAGCGTTGCACCTGCCCTGGGTCGCGGGTGCCTGCCCGGACGGCTCCTCGGCGTGTGCCGGGACAGAGCGCTGCGCGGCCGCACCTCGAGGGGGCGCCCGACCCGGGAGTGCGCGCTCCACGTCGGCCCCTGGCGGCGGGGCGGTGGGGCCGCACACTCTTGCTCTGCTGCTTCCCTGATTTCTCTTCCTTCAATCGTACCCCCACCGCACACCTCGCCCAGTTCAGAATGTGTCCATTTTAAAGACTTTTTTCTTTTTTGATCTATTCAGAAATCATACACCGAGTGCCCAGCCAAGGTGTTGGGTGCTATGGACCCCGGATGACAAATACAAGGTTCTTTCCTTTTTTTTTTTACTTTTTGGGTCACACCCAGCAATGCTCAGGGATTTCTCCTGGCTCTGCACTCAGGAATTACTCCTGGCAGTGCACAGGGGACCATTTGGGATGCTGGGAATCGAACCCGGGTTGGCTACGTGCAAGGCAAACACCCTCCCATCTGTGCTATTACTCCGGCCCCCAAGGTTCTTTCTGTGTAGGACTAAATATTATATTGCCAAGTGCTTTCAGACAATTTCGTGTATTGGACGTATCTTTAATCTGGGTTATGTTCCAAAGATTGGAAGTGCTGATTGCACATGGAACACTAGAATGGACAGTCTTGGGGCTGGGGGAGGGAGAGGTGAGGTCAATAAGAGGGTGCTGGGGGAGGGAGAGGTGAGGTCAATAAGAGGGTGCCTTGGCCATGGCCCCAGAGGCACTCGACCTAATTCGGAACCCAGCAGCTGCTGGCAGAAATGTGAATGGACTATGCAGTAAGCTACGGTGCCGTGCCCAGCCCCCAGGGAAAGGGTGTCTGTCTCTTCCACCATGTCCCCCTCCCTCGGCATGGTGGCCACGGCCTCAGAGCTTATTGAACAGCCAGGTATGAGCTGGCGGTGACCAGGCAACTGCAGCCTCATGGGATGGGAGACAGAAGGGCACATCCTTCTTGCCCTGTCGAGACCAGGAGTTGCCCCCCACGACCAGCTCTCTGGCATGGCCATGGACCCAGAGGCACACAAACCAATCTCAGAACTATTTGGCTTTTGGCAGAAATCCCTCCAGACTTAATTAGTAAAATATCGATTTGCTCAAGCAGGCCCAGTAACGTCTCCACTGTGAGACTTGTTACTGTTTTTGGCATATCGAATACGCCATGGGGAGCTTGCCAAGCTTTGCTGCGCGGGCAAGATCCTCTCAGTAGCTTGCCGGGCTCTCCAAGTGGGGCGGAGGAATCAAACCTGGCTCAGCCAGGCCGGCCACATGCAAGGCAAACACCCTACCACTGTGCTATCACTCCAGCCCTAGTAAAATATCAGAAATCCAAAATCTTATGGTCTTCATAACCAGCAATAGAAAACAAATTATTTCTGATGCCTTTTCAGCAGGTTTGATTGTTGAGGGAAAATTCCAAATAATAATGGTGCATCTTTTGTCGAAATAATGAATTTAATCAAAGTAGAGAGAGAGTTAAGTGGAAATCATCTGCCTCACAGGCATGGGGAGGGGTGGCATGGGGGGTATATTGGGGTTCTTGGTGGTGGAAAATATGCACTGGTGAAGGGATGGGTGTTTGATCTTGACTTAAACCTGAAAGCTTTCTAACTGTTCACACGGTGATTCAATACATAAATTTAAATAAATAAATAAAAATTTAAAAATAAAAATAAGAGGGTGCCTATCACCTGTCCCAAGGAATCCTGGGAAGGGCTATCCACATGCCCTGCACTGGGCACAGGACTTGGTGAGCAACGGGCCTCTGCACTTCAATCCCTGCATCAAGGGACTAGACCATCATGCGTCATGGATCATAAAACCTCAGAGAAGGACCCGTGCATAGTCCCGACACCACATTCAGCTGAGGATAATGTTGACTTGGTATTTCAGACCGCCTTTTTCAGGGAACCAGAGCCCTGCCCTTTTCCATGGTGGCTGCAGAAGCAGCATCAGCCTCGAAGGTTCCAAGTTCGAGGCTCTTTGGATCACCATCTGCTTTAATGGTTTCTGAGATTGGTGGGTAGCACTGTAGCACTGTCTTCCCAATCATCAATTTGCTCGAGTGGGCCCAGTAATATCTCCATTGTGAGACTTGTTGTTACTGTGTTTGGCGTATCGAATATGTCATGGGTAGTTTGCCAGGCTTTGCCATGCGGGCGAGATACTCTCAGTAGCTTGCTGGCTCTCCGAGAGGGGTGGAGGAATCGAACTCGGATCAGCCCTGGTTGGCCATGTGCAAGGCAAACGCCCTACGCACTGTGCTATTAGCTAGGGACAAAACTATTCTACCTGGCATGATTTTTAATTTTCATCTTCCATTAGAAGCAACTACACAGAATGAAGGCAATCATAACTGCCCCACTAGGCTGAGCCAATAGGCTGTCATCACCTACTTGCTGTGTTTTGAGCATCTTTCTGGGTAGGTTCCACCACTTCCATAGAGAACTTGGAGAACCCCTTTGTGTAGGGTCACTCCCCAGTGATGACTATACCAGTGATGCTTTGGGGTCTTTTTAGAAGCAAAGGATATAAAGGATTTCCCAATTTTATGTTAAACTTTAAAAAAAGAAAAACTTCTGGTGGAGGGGCTACATTTGATGTTGCTCAGGGGTTAATCTTGGCTCTGTGCTGGGGAATAACCCCTGACGGTATTCAGGTGACCCTAGGCAGGCTGAGATAAATTGGGATCAACCAAGGATGCTTTGAGCCAGGCAAGAAAGAGCCTTACCTTCTATGCTATCTTCCAGAGTAGCATGTTTTAGTTCAAAGACAAGTCACCAAAGTAGGACAACAATATGAACCTGAAAATGCTAGGACAACCCACACCAGTCCCACTAAGCAGTGACCCCATCAGAAGAGAACTGAAAAGTGAAATAGCCTTTTAGTATCAGTCAACTTTTGCAAAGCTTTTCCTAAAGTTGGGCAATTCCTCTAAATCATTTGCCAGCAGGCAATTAAGCAGAAAATCCATTACCATTGCCTTTAGGAAGAGAACACCTGTCATGCTTCAAAGGAGCACCGGAGTGCCTTCTAGATAGCTGGGCAGCGTTACAGAGATCCAGGAGAAGAGTGGGCACTGTGTACTGCTCTCTCTTGTGAAACGAGGAAATAGGTTCAGAGAGGTCTACGTTTGCTTTTTGAAGGCCACCCCCAGAATTTATAATAGGCCCCAAATTTCTGTTCAGGTCTTTGAGTCCCCAAGCTTTTCTTCTCAGTACACACACACACACACACACACACACACACACACACACTTGCACTGATGCAGCTGAACGGACAGTTGCTGCTCTTCAGTGGCTTTCCTGATCAAAGATTTTGTCCAGGACAATCTCACAATGTGAAGAAGTGATATGTGTACACAAACACCTGTAATTGGTGATTCATGTACAGTCAGTAGATTTCAAGGTTTTAAAAAATAAATTAGCAGACAGGGATGTGCTCCAGTGGCCTGGCCTGTGCCTTAGCATGTATGAGGCCTTGAGTTCCATCTCTGGCATCACAAAAATGAAAATGTAAAAAATTAACAGACCAATTTTGCAGGCTCAGGAACAGAGAGCTTCCAATGTTTCTGTACAATAAGCAGTATTTTCTTATTTTAAAATACATGTAGGCTGGTGGAGAGATGGTTGTTGGACCATTGTATGACTAAAACCAAATTGTGAACAACTTTGCAATGTTCTATCTCATGGATATTCAATAAAAAATTAAAAATTAATAAACATTGTGGAAATATAAGTAGCTGCAAAAAAAAAGAGCTCCAAGAATATGAAATTTTAGTGTGTTAATGAAACCCAAGAAAATCTTATTGAGGCACACTGATTCAGTGGGTCTATGACAGAATTTGAGGTTTTGCATTTTTGATGAGAAGTTGCAGATGCTGTTGGTTCATGCACATTCATTAAGTTGCAAGGTCCTAGGAAATATTCCGACCTAAGTGAGAGAATTGGGAGTGGAGAGAGAAAAATAGAATTAGATGGCTAAAAGTGGAAATCACTTAGACTAAAAGAAATGAATTACAGATTCTAGGTGCTTAATCTAGCCAGTCTAAATTATTGAAGTAACTCATAATAAATAATTCCTGAATTTTTGTTATTCAAAAGGTTAATCTTTTATGGTAAAAATCCTGTCTTATTTCTCACTGGCCAGTAATGGTTTGCTTGTTTGTTTGTTTGTTTTTGTACTGCGCTTTGCTCCTTTCGAATATCTATGTCCTTTTTTGTATATCATAGTACCAAAGGTTATGCACCCTAACTCAAATCTGTAATGACCAATAAC